TAATGATCATTATGGAGAATGGATAGGCAGACGAGGAATCTTTGAGTGGCCCGCACGGTCCTGTGACTTGACACCCTGCGATTTCTTCATGTGGGGCCTTCTCAAGGACCGCGTTTTTGCAAGAGGACCACGCACCCTTCCTGAGCTCCGAATTGAAGAAGAATTTGAAAATCTTCGCGGACACCTTAACATGCTTCGCCTGACCTCTCTCTGGGTTGCGAAACTGTGCCGTCAATGCATTGATCATAATAGGCATCAATTTGAATACTTAAACTAACCCTTTTTCGAATCCCCTTTGTAATTTCTTCGAATAAATTAATTTTGACAATGTATTTTTTATGCAAATTTTTTTGCATAAAGGTTATAGCGGAAAAAATCCGAAACACTTTTGGGAAATAAAAATGAACAAGTAGTCATAACAAATTAGATTACCTAAGGTTTTGTGGGATTAAAAACATAATTTTTTAACTTAATCTATTTTCGATTGAAGAACTGGTTCTTGGTCGTAGAAAAAATAGGGTATGCAACTCTTGTGTAATGGCTAATAATACATGATCGTTACATAATATATTATTATTAAGATATACCCTAAGTACTGTGGAGCAATCCACCCTCCCTCAGATTAAAGATACAGAAAATATCCCGAAGTAACAGCTAATTTAAAACACCCTGTATTTGACTTATATATTATACTTTATTTATATTACCTTTCAACATCTTGAGGAAATCTGTAAAATGAATGTGCACCGATATAAGATTTATTTTTACAGTCTTTATAACTACAAACAAATCCAGCTTTTTTGTCAAAATAACAGAATAATAATAATAATTCACGATTTCGATCCTACCACCCGTGCTGGTCGCTACTAAGTTTCGGTGTAGAATATCGGTGTGTGATTGAAGGTCACGAGCCCTCAAGATCACGTGATCGGAGATATCCTTCTGGTTATTATTTATTCTTGTGCCCCAACGATAACAATATTTACTAATCAAGAAAGTTAATCTTTTTAAACTTCAGAAGTGTCATGGGTGTCCGCAGAAAAAAGGTCTTTAAAAAAAAATTCAGTTTGTCAACAACTAAATTATATACGTATAGAAAAATAATAATAGTGAGTTAACAGAATGAACTGACTTATTACGACAAAGTTGTGCTATTTATAGAAGATGTGGGCGATTGAGCGGCGAAAACAGAGCAGGACCGGACTGGCCGAAAATGGCTAGCACGACATTATATTTACTTTAAAGAATATATGAGTGGGTCAGTGGAAAAGTGGTACACGTGACTAAATTTTTGTTATGAGTAATGAAGTATAAAGAAGATAACGATGAATACAAAATTATTACATAACTGAAAATAAAAAACAAATATGTTATAATACGTAGTTTTTACTGTTATTTACTGTCAATAAAATTAAGTACACCTAGCATTATTGGGTAATTGTCAGGAAAACCATTTCCTCGCATATACCGTTTTAGATAGGATAATGGAAACGGTAAAAATGGTACAAGTGCTACTAGAAACTGTTTATAATTCCACACTAACAAATAACTAGGTATATATTAATAACAAATACAATACAAGAAAAGTCAATCTATCATAATGCATCATTTTCATAGTCTGGCACTAATAGTACTCGTTCCGTTTCATCTTCGTCTGCATTCTCGATAGCTGTAGATGGCACAGCAGCAGTTTTTTTCTTTTTTTGCTTTTGAGAGGTCTTAGGCGGCGGACCGTCATGGGGTAATTCTTTATAAAAATCATGGTACATTGGTGGTATAAAATCAAGCAGTGTCATTAAGTCTTTGTATTTGGGATGTTTTATATTTATGGGATGATCATATAATGGTTTTAGTTGTATTGTACTACGTAACTTTTTTGTTACTCAAGTTATGTATTGCAAAATTATATGTCCAGAGAGTTCTTAGGTAATAAACTTTATTTGTGGTCAAGGAAGGCGTACTTAAAGTTTTTTGAAGCACAAAACAAATTGCGATGGTACCTTTTGACTCCTGACTTTTTGTTTTAGCTTCCCTTTTCGTAGTAATAACCTTCTCTTCCTTACGTAAGTGCAACTCTTTTTTTGTTTTTAGAATCTTTCTTGTATCTTCAGATACACATGCGTCTATTTGAACTTTTAATTTTTCGCATTTACTACAAGTGTCAGTTAATGGTTGATGAAATGACAGATTAAATTCGTAATTAAATATTTGTCGGTAACACCATTCCTTAACTGGCTGACGTTTTTTTTTGAGAACATTGTTCAGTATAGCATTCATAAATTTTTCTAATGTTTAAATGAGACGGCAAATATTGTTTATTAGGGTTGTCTTTACGGGCGTAATGGCTTTTATACCGTGGGAACATGTTAATATGCTCTCTGACGAAGTTTAAGACAGTTTCAGGTATCTTTCTTGGGTTTAATTGTTTGCCTCGTTCATCTAAAGCAACAAAACCAAGTTCTGACTTTCTATTGGTTACACACGAGTACCTTCCGTTGCTAATACTTAACGTTTTCAGAAAAAATTCTTTGCACGCTTTTTGATTTTTCAAATGAAATGAAATTGATTTTGATTTGTGCGTATCTGCGACATTGCGTGTACGTGAACATTTTTCTATTTTAATACATGAGGCAATGTAAGCTGTTTGCTGATCCCAATCTGCAAGACCCCAAAAATTAGTAAATATAAGATGTGCTTCCTCCTCTGTGTATTGTTGCATGAGTAGCGGCACGTGTGAATAAAATACGTGAATTCCTTACCCCGTTTAGCTTGATTTCGATATCCTATATATGCCTTTCCCGCATTTCGTAACTTCTTTTTAACTACTCTTTTATGTTCGTGTAGATTTCTAAGTCGTTTTTTTCCTTTTCTTTTTTGCCTATTTGTAGCATCCTCTACTTGAGCTACTAGTATTTTCGTCATCAGACTCTAAATCAGGAATATAGGTTTAGTCCAAATCTGAATCGTCGAAGTCAGAGAATTCTAAAAGTAAGGTTACGTTCTTACAAAATGTGTAACAAGTTTATGTTTATACAGTTTTATTTACTACTATGTACATACATACCTTCTACATCCATTTTGTTTGAAAGTCAATAAACAAATTCACTTTAAACGCAGATAAACAGCAATTTATTCAGATATTAATGTATGCACGTGTTTTTCTCTCGCAACGTGTGAGCTGTGAACCACCTGTGATCGCAACAGTAATATTGATATTTTAAATGTAAAAGTGGTACAGGGGCCGGTAACTCAAATGGAAAAACATGAGGTTGGTAATTTAGTACCACTCCAATTAACGGGATGGCGCTCGTATCGAAATGTCATGTCAGTTGTCAGCTCGTCAAAACTTCAAACTCAGAGAAATTAAAATGGCTATTGTATTTGAAGGTGTATTGAATTTTGATTCATCTAGAATCTAGATTTATTTCTCAACACCTTCCAATTTTAAGCACGTTTTCAAAAGATGGGAAGATGGATTTCAACAACAAACAATAAAGCACTCCCAGATATTGGTAGTAATGCAATTTATACCACATTAATATGCAGTCGTCCCCCAAATTGTAATAAGTGTCTTAAAAAAAATGCACCATCACTGTACCAACGGTAAGTAATATTTACAAACTTGTATTTGATTCAGTGTTAAAATAATTGGTTTGTTATTTAAATTTCTTTTTGTTTTCAGTTTTTAAATGATCACTTTTGTAAAGAAAATGTTGGCCCTCCAAAATATCCTGTCGATCGATGAAATATTTGAGCCTCAGCCATCAATATCAAAAATTGATTCAATGCCATTGACATCAAACAAGAAAACACCCTAAAATCTTCAAGGTTCCAAACGTGTGTAAGTTTAATTTATGCTCAAAAGTTAAATTTATTTATCACAGTGCCCACATGATGAATAAAAATTTGATAACTACAAGTGCTGTATAAATGAATCAAGAAAACAATTATAGGATGAAGAAATGCTCCTCAACCTAACTAGTCAACTCAATAACCGTATGGCAAATTTTATCCACACTCAAATTTGCCTCGATAGTAAAAAAGGATGATGCTTCGACTTCAATTTTTTCAAACTTATTTGCCACTCCAAGTCGCAAAACTTTTATAAAGGTCTTGAGCACTTATATATGCTGATTTTGTTACAGAAAACATTTTTGATAGGTTTGTTTTATAAATATTTAATTATTTAAATGGTGTAAATGCATATTTGTTTGAGTATTTCCATGTTTAAATAGACAAATTATATGATGCGGCGTTAATTTACTGTAATAAAAAAAAATAAAATAAATTGCATTTTATTTCAAGTTTGAAATTAATGCAAAAATATAATGAAGTAAAATCAAATAAAGAAAAAAATTGGCAAAATATTTGACTAGTTTCAAATCACAAAACAGTCAATATGGTTGTTTTATGATTTAAAACTAGTCAAATATTTTTCCAATTTTTTTGCTTTATTTGATTTTCTTCATTACATTTTTGTGCTACTACAAAGTTAAATTTCAAAAAGCCCGCTACTGGCGGCCATATTGAATTTTAGTACCACTCCAATTTGATAGATGGCAGCACATCGACTCAGAATTTTACCATTGAGTTTCCCATCTATTCACATTAGTAATCTATGAAGTGGTACACGTGCATTTGTCCCACTTATTCATTCAGGAAACTGCGGTTTTACTTTAGAGGTAAATCTACTATACGTAAGATGTCGCTATCAAGTACAATTTTCACTTGTACCAATTTTGCTTTAAACAAAATGGTACATTACCTTTGCAGAAGTGTATTTAGACTAATTTTGATAAAAAAGTCACTTATACCACTTTTCCACTGACCCCCTCATATGTAGATTAAAATGTACATATTTCGTTTTTCTCTTATGTTAGCCTGATTTACATTTCCCGCTCAAACATTTAAGTCCACTTTCTGAAAAATGGTAATTTTAAAGTTATTATATCTCCCAAACACCACAGATGTATTTAAATGTTTTTTTTTTATTTTTACAGAGGGTAGAATACCAATAATCAGAACCCCGGTGCCAACAGTACAAGATTTAGAAAAAAGGTTCAATTGGTTGCAGCCCGGCGGACATTGGCAACCGGAAAATTGCCGCGTATTGAGTAAGGTCGCAATCGTAATACCATTCCGTTGCAGAGGAGAACATTTACTGCTCTTTCTGCAACACATGCATCCATTTCTCAAAAGACAACAATTAGATTATAGAATATTCGTCGTGGAACAAGACGGAGAGAAATCCTTCAACAGAGCCATGTTAATGAATATAGGATATAAGGAAGCGTTAAACGTTAATCATTTCGATTGTTTTATTTTTCACGATATTGATCTCTTGCCGGAGGACGATCGAAATTTGTATACTTGTCCAAATCAGCCTCGGCATATGAGCGTAGCTGTCGATATTTTGAAATACAAGTAAGTTAATTTTATTTGAAATCAATTTAGTTTGATGGTATTAATATTATTCAAAGTGGTGCATTTGTAAATATGCAAACGTTAGATGGTTTTTATCGCGATGGTTCTAAATAACCGGTCTTTAATGGGTTTTACATACTTTTTAAACAAAATAATTGTCGATATTGTCCAATTGACTATTCAGAAAAAAAATTGTATAATTTTCCCTTGTCTTTGGTTTGATTTTACTATAATTTCATTATATTTTCTATTTGTCTTTTCGCTCCATATTCCTTTCGTAACTGTTTTAGTTTTATTTTATTCTTATGTATATTTTTTACATTTCCTATTTTCGCTTTCATTTTATTTCTATTTTCATAATAACATCACCTTTTTTCTTCTTGATCCTATGTGTTTTATTTTCTCCTTTATCCTGTTTTCTATTTTCTCTAGACCTAGTTTTGTACATTCTTTAATTTTCTTTCTCCTTTTTTCTTTAAATTCTTCAATTTTCCTTTTTCTTTTGCTATTTATTTTCATACTTCTTATTTGCTACTATATCACCGTTTTTCTTTAATAACTCCTTTTTCTTCAATTATTTCTATTGTTATCTTCTTATTTCTTTCTTTATTCCTATTTATTTCTTTTCCAACGTTATAAATATGTTTTTATGCATTTCCTCAATTTAACTCTTTATAACTTTTTCTTGAACACTTATTTCTTTATTTATTTCTATACTCCTTTTCTTTATTTTCTATTTTATTATATTTTTTCATTTCTTTTATTATGTTTATTAAAACTACCGGTTCGAGTTGTTTTGATAGACTGACTTTATTTCAAATACTAGGCAAAGACATGTGACCTAAGTAGTTAGGTTTCATCAATAGATGGCACTACCAGTAGCATAGTTAAGTTTTAGTATATCTTTTAACAATATTGTCCATTTTCTCCTCTAATTTCTTTCCAAAGTTCTTTGCATTCTCATCTAACTTATTTGCTATTTCTCGTTTACCTTCGCTTATTTCTTGTTTATTTTTTCCATTCTTTCTCGCATTTCTACCGTTTATATCTGCAACATTTTCTTTATATCCATTTCTCTCCTTTGTCTTCTCATCTTCCTGAACTTATACTTAAATCTGATCCTCTTCCCCTTGACCAATCTGCTCCATATTATCCATTTTTGTATTACTTCTTAATTTCATCTATTTTCTATATTTTTATCTTTACTCTATTCTATGTATTAATCCTTGACTACTATCTAAACACACGTCCCCCTTCTTTCTCACACTACCCCAATATCTCTCAAATTATGCTAAAATTACTTCAAAAACACCACAATTACGCAAGGATCAGTGTAATACAGCAACAAGAAAATTATCTTACCAGTCCTTGTTGATATCCTGCTTCCGCCACCACCAATACTGCTGCCAAACGACGCCCCACGTTGGGCGCCAAATTATAATGGTTCCGCCCTGTATAAGGTAGACCTATTACAATATTCTTCGAGCACTAAGAGTTGTTGCTTCAATGGCTTTCTGCAATAATTTTAAATAAAATCAATATCTAAATATATTTTTTAAATTTAGATAACAAAAATAAAAAAATCACCTGCCTACTGCTGTCTGCCTGGTGTCCTCCAACTCTTTTACTATCTTTCCTTCACTCCTGAACAATTTAATGCTCTAAAACTATAAATTTTAATTATCCTCTTTCATTCATAACATTCTTTCACATTCATCTAATAAACTATCAAATTCTTTTCTCAAATTCAACATTCTCGCCGATTTCAAATCATAAAATTCCGTCCCCCTTTCAAAATATTATATCTTTTCTTTCACATTTGTTCTCACTTTCTCCTTCTCAGTCAACCTTCGATTTTTCATTATTTTCAAACATTCACCTATTTCATCTAATCTAATTTTACTTTCACTCTGTCTTTGTTTTGATTTTACTACCGTTTCATTATTTTCTATTTTACTTTTCGCTTCATATTTCTTTTGTAACTTTTTTATTTTATTTTTCGTAATAACATCACGTTTTTCTTCTTGGCCCTATATGTTTTATTTTCTCCCTTATCCTGTTTTCTATTTTTCTCTAGGCTTAGTTTTGTAATTTCTTTAATTTTCTTTCACTATTTATTTTCATACTTCTTGTTTGAAACTATAAAACTGTTTTTCTTCAATTATTCCTTTTTCTTCAATTATTTATGTTTTGATCTTATTTCTTTGTATTTTATTTACTTTATTCCTATTTATTTTTTAACGTTTTTCTAAATTATCTCCTTTTCCCTCAATTTTATTATTTATGTATTTTTCATGTGAATCTTGTTCTTCATTTATTTCTACACTCTTATGTACCTTTTCTTTATTTTCTAGTTTATCGTCATTTTTCAATTCGTCTATTATATTATCCATTTTCTCCTCCAGTTTCTTTTCAAAGTTCTTTGCATTCTCATCTAACTTCTTTGTATTTTCTACAAACTTAGTTGCCATTTCTCGTTTACTTTCTCTTATTTCTTGTCTGTTTTCTTCCATTCTTTCACTCATTTCTTCCATTAATATCTACAATATTTCCTTTATATCCATTTCTTTTTAACTCTCATCTTCCTGCACTTATACTTGAATCTGATGCTCTTCCCCTGGACCATCTGTTTCATATTATCCATTTTTGTATTACTTCCTAATTTCATCTATTTTCTTTATTTTTATATTATTCTATTTTATTTATTAATCCTTTACTACTTTCTAAACACACATCCCCCTTCTTTCTCACACTACCCCCAATATCTCCCAAATTATCCTAAAATTACACCAAACACACCACAATTACTCAAGGATCAGTGTACTACAGCAACAAGAATATGCTTTTACCAATCCTTGTTGATAGTCTCATTTCGCCACCACCATCACTACTGCAGCCCCACGTTGGGCGGAAAGTTGTATGGTTCCACCCTGTATAAGGTATGCCTATTACAATATTCTCCGAGCACTAAGGGTTGTGGCGTTAATGGCTTCCTACAATGATTTTAAAGAAAATCAATACATAAATACAAATTTTGAATTTGGATAACGAAAATAAAAAAATATTTGGTACTCTTCATTCTTCTACACTTCCTGTCTTCTATTCTAACTACTATTATATATTTACTATTCTCCTTTCTGCTGCTGTCTGCCTGGTGTCCTCTAATTATTTTACTATCTTTACCTTTATCTTTTCATCAGAGCGAAAAGTGGTACTTTGTCCCTTGAGACAGAAAAATTAATGTATTACAAAACTTGTACGTTATTCGTTGATTTGACATCATCTCTCTTGAAATTTCTTTGAGTGCGGCCATTTTATAATTCTTATCTTTCACGAACTCGAAAACATTTTAGGAAATAACACACAGCCCATGAATGTATTAGACCCCAAACCATTAAAACATAGGGAAAATATAGAGATAAAAATACTAAAAGGCACATATCTTAGGTACCTACTTCATACTGGCTGATAAAAATTAAAAACACTAACACTGGTTGACTACACAGCCGTAACTTAAATTAGCAAAAAAAGATTATTATTTCGTGCAAAAATTATGTATTTGTTTGAATTTCAAAGCGCTTTCGGCATAACGCCATCATCATTGCTCGTCTACAAAGAATTGTGAATGTAAATATATAAGATATATGAATATAAACTATAAATTTGAGTCAAAACAATTAATTTTTAAAAAGGATTCTTTTTGAATAGAGAGTTGACAAAGTTAACAAAGAAATTATACCAGTTATAGAGAAAATCAAGGAAAACTGTGCTTGCGTAGAGCTAACACTTGGCCAAGACGGTCTTTGCCGAAACAGGACAAAATCGTTCTTTAACGAAAATCTCTTGTCACAGTCGTTTTATTCAGGAACGTGTAACGTAAATTGAAAGTTGGAAGTTTAAAATATTTTTCTACTAGCATCCTATGGGGGTGTCAAATGAAAACTCATTGAAGCATGTTTCTAACAATTTTAACTAAAAATGCAACTAGGACAAAAAAAATGAAATTTTTAACATAAACATTTGTTTTAAGGTTACCATATCCGGAGATATTTGGGGGCGTCTCGGCCATCAGTACGGAACACTTTAAATTATTAAATGGATTCTCAAACTCTTTTTGGGGATGGGGAGGTGAAGATGATGATATGTCCAATCGAATTAGATATCATCATCTACATATTTCGAGATATCCCTTGACCATTGCGAGATACACGATGCTGACCCACAAAAAGGATAAACCTAGTCCTAGTCGGTAAGTACCTATAAGGTTGTGTATTATTACTTTTTAAATTGGTTGTGATTGCAATAAAAGAGTCTGATTTTATTATTTAGATTATTAAGTTTTATGGTGAAAATGGTTCTGTTTATTTCCACAAGATGGCATATTATCTGATTTTTGGTCATTATACAGGGTGGGCCACCGATAGCGCCTTGGTTTATAGAGAAAACCATTTGATTTTTTTTCACAGCCAGATGTATATCAGAAAAGGTAACAATTTAAAAATAATTTGAATTATACAGGGTTCTCCAAGAAAGTGATACATATTAAAGTTAAGCTTTTTTAAATGGATGGTGATAAAAATTAAAAAAGAAATGAGAAAATATTTTTGAGTTTTAACTCACCGTGTACAGATTTGTTTCGAATTGAAATAAGTAGTGCATCGGCCTAAAATTTTGACTAAAATCGAAAAACTTTTAAGGCAAGAAAATTGATTTCAATTGTTTCTTTTGTATTATACAGGCCATTTAAATCATTACGATTTTCATATAAAACTCGTTACAGTGTGTGGAATTCCCTGTATAATTCCATTCTATTTGGTATTGTTGAAATGAGAAAAACAGAGGCTATTGAAATATAAAATACAGGGTGTTCCATTGAAAACCTAACTTTGGTATGTATTACTTTCCTGGAGAACCCTGTATAATTGAAATTATTTTTATTAAATTGTTGGCTCTTCTGATATACATATCGCTGTGAAAACAGATTATATAACAATCTGATAGTTTTGGCTGTACAGACCAAGGCATTACCGGTGGCCCACCCTATGCAGTGTGGCCTAAATTGGACCTACATGTATGGGGATTTTGAAAACTATAGAATATAGAGAAACGGTTAAAAGGGAAATTTTTTTACAAATATATTAGCAATATATAACCGTTTAGTACGTGATTCTATCTTTTTTTGAGATATTTAAAAAGAAAGAAAAAGTTGAATTTTCGAAATGATGCTGTATCTTTTTTATTGTTCACTATTTTGGCAATCTGTTAACTTTTTATATAGATTTCATTTCTGCAATTGGATTTTAAATATGACAGTTATTTTATACCATCGTCAGGTTAATTTTTTTCTTATGGACGCTATATTGTATTTTATATTTAGAAGTTATTGATGTCAGCTTTACGACGATATATCACTTATTGGTAAATAAAAAAGATTGACTTAAAAAACACATGTTGGCCGTTTTTGTTAATACATTTTTGACACTTTTTCAACACAGTATTGGTGATCCTGCGAAGAGTGTTGCCATTTATGCTTGCAAACATACCTCTTCTACCAATGTAAAGGCCTGGCTGGAATGAGGTTTCTAACATTGGGCGAAGAAAAGCCAAGTGCATGCAACTACATGCGGGAGCCACTGTCAAAGCCACTAAGTCTAATTAAAAAGACCAGGCTAGACGACATACTCTAAAATAAACGGAGTCCCACAATAGATCTGAAAAGGTCACGGTGGACAAGGACAAATAACGTTCAACTCCTAACTTTTGAGATATCTTCTACAAAAATATCGTTTTGAATTAGTCTAGGAGGTTTGCTAGATTCAAATGCAAGTGTCGGATCTTCTGATACCAATTATGTGATGAAATATATGAGGAAAAAACTTAGTCGATACACTTGAAAAAACCCTACTTACGCAAAACCTTGGCACGGCCCTAATCGGCGTTTCTCAGATGTGACTACGTTTTGTTTCTATCCAAGTCGATACTGCTGCAGCTACAGTCGCAGAATCGGAAAACTACAACAACAACTTGCTTCTAATCGTTTGTTTTTTATGCCTGGCTCCATCTCGGGCTGTTCTTCGGGGTCAACAAAATATAGCTTCCATATGTCTAGGATCCTCTCATTAATAAATAGAGGACTTAGTTAATAAAGGACTTGGTTAATAATGTTAATATTTCAAAATAAATATAGCCAAAATACAATTAGTCGCGACGACAGTTAATAATAATATATGCCAGACGTTTTATATAAATATTTATAATGCCTAGCAACCCAGGTCGTTCCGTTGCCGAGGTTTCCGGTGACATAGGGACCGTGCGTGAAATATAGAGGCAGCACTACTGCCGAACTTAGCCCTCTCTAGTGTTTAATTTTAGAATTAAATGGGGTAAACATTGCAAGTAAATAATGAAGGGTATTTTTTTAAATATTAAATATAGTTAAAAATAGATACCGGCCCGTACCAAACAATCGTGTACATGGTCAAAATGACGTAAAATGTGAAACATTATTAAAATCTGGACATGCATATACATTTTAAACAAAAAGATTTAAATGGCTAAGTGACAATAAATTGTAAAGTTGTACCTTAAACAAGTGTATCCAATGTTAAAATATAGGTATTTAGTAACACTGAATTTAAAAGTATTACAATAACATTTAAAAAATGTAAATTAATAAAAAAGATTGATAATAATAATTATAAATCTTTTTAGCTTTATGTTAATCGAAATGTCATTCATCCACTGGCGTTTATGAGATGTTCAATGATACATATATTATAGATTGCTCACCCAACTATAAAAAAATTATGAAAAGCTGGTTGCAATGTGCCTTTCCTAGTGCTCACTAAATAGAGCCGTTCTAGCCCAAATAAAATTTCAGCATTTTAATCTTTAGAAAAAGATAATAATTAAAGTTTTACTTCAAGACATGTCATTATGTATTTGGAAAGTTGAGTTTTCATGTAGTTAAATAATATTAAGAGATCTAAACAATTTTTATAACAGATGGATATAAATAATTTTAGACTACTATTTCAGAAACAATTCTACATAAAATACATAATTGCAATATGTAATACAATTTTGAAAAGGTAATGTAAACAATTTTAATATGAGGTATGAATAACTTTGGTAAGAGTTGTAATTGGACACTTATCTATTATTCTGAATAATGTTTAATGGTAATGTCACTAAAAAAATTTACAAAAAATCACTGGATTTTTAATATTTTAAAGTTTGTTACAATCTCTTTTGACAGTAATTGCAATGTATTATTTATGATTTGTTTGTTTTAATAATAAATGAGAAATAGTTAATAAATTGTAAAGAGGGCCGTGATATTTTTGTCAAATTGGATATTCTTATTTCATAACATTCTACATTAGTTTTAATCAACAGAATAAACCATTATCTGTAAAATTATATTTATATAAAATGGTCATTTAAATATGTAAAAATCTTAATGACAAGAAAACACTAAAGATTCTAATTTTTCTGTAAATGATTTCTTTACAACTAAGTGCTCAAAATTGATACAAGCTAGATAAAAAGAAAACTTTGCCCAGTGAAATACGCTTTTCGTCGTCTGATTTACATATGGATAAGCAATCTTTATAATTATGTATATCATTGGGTGTGAGGCATAATTGTGCTCTGTGGAAATTTATAAAATTTCTTTACTATCGAATGAAATCCAGGTTTCTAAAGTGATGTGTTTGTACATCCACGGATGCAACAAGTTTTTTCGATATTGATATTACGAAAATAATTCGACTTCATTTTATTAATAATTATTAAACAATAAATGCCGTATAAAACATTAATAAATACCCCCCAAAAAGTTCACATTTTTGTCACCAGTTAGCGTTAAAGTCATGACGCACGGTCCCTATAGGGCGCACAAGGTTATCGACTAAAATCTGTGCGTAAGGCGTGGCGTTATTAGCGTTATTATGACATCGGTTTCCCGTCTCTGACACTTGGATAACCTCAATAACATCGACCTAGGTGTTAAGTAGGCGAATCGGCCTTGGTCAAACTTCAAATTTCCGTCCCTATTTTTATGGAGTTCCAAAAAACTACTGCAGTTGGCGGGTGGCAAAATAACGACGTCTATTTTCTATGCAAGTCAATGGGAGTTAAAGTGATTTTTGTAAAATTTAGTGAAAAGAATAAAAATAAACTGAAATAAAGAACCTGACTACAAGTAACAATAAGTAACAAAAAACGACAAAGCAGGATTTTCTTCGTGTTGGGTTGCAAAACGGGATATAAATCCGATATAAAATTAAAGAAATCATAAGGAGATAAAAATCCAAGTCTTTTTAAAGCTCCTAGTGTAAGTAAAATAATGTATTTATTTCTAAATAATATATATTTATTGTAAAATAGTCACAACCCGTATCTTACGGAGTGTAGTTTATTTAATTACAAAATTCTATAATAAAAAATAATAAAGTCATAAATCCTGACTTAAAAACAACAATAATTACACATTAAATTTAACTTACTAGAAAAGAAAATTTGCTTTTTTTTATGTTTTTTGATGTTAGATGAAGAGTTACTACTGTTATTTTTCTTCATTGAACTCCAATTTAGTCATTGCAAATATTTTTTATAGGATCCTAAACGTTTAGAACAATGGCAGCATGTGATTCCTAGGGCTGATAAAGTACTGTCTGGTTATGATTCTGTTTGCGAGCTACACTTTTTAGAAGATGATATTTTAAAATTTGATGAGACTATTTTAACTAATGGTACTGTTAGCAAAATAAAAACGGGACAGCTGAAATTAAAGGATGAGGTAATACCATGTACATTCCCAAATCTCCCTTTATACTTGTATTACAACAATAAAAAATCTGTTAACTGTGTTTTATTTTACTCTTAAAACTATATATTGGTTCAATTAAAAAAAAAAATTTGCCACAAAATTGTACTTATCAAATTTCAGCAATTAAGAAACCTTTTCGAATTTGGTCATACATACCAAAATTGTATTTTATATAGATAAAATTAAATAATTTATCAATTAAAACATGCAAGACTTATTTAGAAATAAATACAACAGTATGTTCTGTGCTTTATTTAGTTGTAAACAAGTTTATTTTTATTATTTTGACAAAATTATATATAATTCCCATAAGAAGCCATGTATTTTGAACTACGTAAACCGTAAACCGCCCATGCGGTTAATTATAAAAGCTCAATTGACGTGTGATTTTTGGGACCGTATTTTGAGCATGCCGA